AACTTTACTGAGGTGGCTGACCACGTCCACGACCAAATCCGCGGCGCTGTAAGAGAAAGCACAGGACATCGCATTAGCAGTAAGCGGAACAACAGGCCTCCTCATCACTGGTGAGGCTCCCCTCAGAGAGTGCAAGTCCTAAGCCCCAGGCTTGCCCTATTGGTTATAGGGCCACACTCACTTTTCAGACTGTTTCCTCATTTGTAAAGTGGGAATATGGACACCCACTCAAGAGTGTGCTCACACATACACACATAGAAGCCACAGCACCGGACAAGATCTTCTGTCTGCCACCCCCCACCCCCCCTTCACTGTGCTACAGGGCAGCTGCTGTTCCAGTGATAGCCCAGCCCCCACACAAGCACTTGACCTGGATTACCTAATCTCACAATCACCTTGAGATAGCTACAATCATCACCTCTATTTTATAGGTGAGAAACTGGGACACAGATCACACCATCTGAAGGAAAATAGAGGATTTGGTTCCAGTCCACCTGGGTTCTAGAGCACACTCACCAGTGGTAGAGTCTCAACCTTAAGTTTTGGTTCATGAAACTAAAGGGATATGGTCATTACAAAAGAAATAGAAAAGACCACTACGCTACATGTAGTATTGATCTGTGAGACTCAATGCAGTATCTATGTATTAAAAAAAGTTTCCATCTGTCTTAATGTAAAAACCTTATTTGGAATTTGTGGTTTTGGGGCGGGGGCGGGGGGGGACGGGGGACGGGGAATGAGGGGTGGGACCCACAGGGCTGAGGCCATAACAGTGACTGCTCATGGAGAGCAAACAGGGAAGGAATACTCACAAACTGGAATTCAGTTGCTGACCCAGCCCCGGCCTCAGCTTTCTTGTCAGCACCAGCTGGAACGAGAAACACCAGTTTAGATTCATCACATGGTCCCATCTACTGCAGACAAGTCATCCAACCCAATCCCAATCTTGCAGGGAAAGCCATGTCAGCAAACAGACCCCATGAAGTACAAGTGAATTACACCTTCTGAGCACTTTGCCCCCTCCCTCTCCCACGGCAGCCTTCCTTAAGTCATCCTTCAAAACTCACAGTCCAAATTATTGCCTCCTCCAGGAGGGCTGCCCTGACCGCCACTTCCCATCACTACATGCTTCAGATTAGCAACTAGCTTACAAGGGAGCTCAATGAAGAACTAAAAGGTAAAGAACACATGGCCCACAGAAGCAAAAAACAACTTTATTATGACCATGGGAAAGCAAGATGAAAGATCTGTGCTGCCCTGTCCAGCAGCCACTGGTCCAAATTGAGGTTTGTATACACTACTTACGAGATTTCAAGACTTAAGAGAGTGCAAAATCTCATTAATGTTTATATAGGTTAAAAAATTAACATTCAGTGGAGTGGAGGTCAATGGGAGAAAAGAGGGGACATTGTAATACTTTTTTTTTTAAATTGATTTCAGAGAGGAAGGGAGGAGTGACAGAAACATCAATCATGAGAATCACTGATTGGCTGCCTCATGCATGCCCTCTGATGATCGAGCCTGCAACCCGGGCATGTGCCTTTACTGGAATCGAACCTGGGACCCCTCAGTCCGAAGGCCAACGCTCCAACCACTGAGCCAAACTAGCTAAGGCCATTATAACACTTTTAACAATAAAGATAAATTTTTAAAAATTAACATTCATGTGAATTATTTCCATTTGCTTTAAGTGTGGCCACTAGGAAATTTTATAGTTCACACTGCAGGGGTGGGGCAGCAGGGTCAACAGTGAGTATGGTTTCAGGAAATCTTGTTCAAATTGGGGTCCCTTTGGCCCATTTCAGACCACATCCACCACAGGCTCCTGTCTGCTCACTCCCCTGCCTGCCCCTTTGACCAGTAGTAAGTCAGTGTTTTCCCCATCTCCATCCCTTTGTTCATGTTCACCTCTTGCCTGAAATGCTCGCTCCCCTAAACTTGAGAACCCAGCCTGAGGCTTGGTCCCAACTCTCACATCCCCTGTAGCACCATTCCCTGACTGGTTTCCCATGTGGTGTGACTTCTAATAAGAGCAACCGCTGCTAACTTTCTCTAAATGGAGAGCAGGTTTGCCAGAGGAATTCATTACTACGTACTATCCTGTAGTGTAAGGTATTCAGGTCAAGTGCTCATTTAATCAGGAACCACGACTAGAGAGAGGTAAGAGTGATGTCAGTAAAAATTCCTTTATACCTTGTTTTTGTAACACAATTTTGTTTCTGCAACGAAGACAGTGACTCTTCCTACCACTCTTCTGCAAACACCAATGGCTCCCCATCCCACCCAAGAGTAAAACCCCAAGTCCTCTCACAGCCCACAGACCGTAAGACCCACATCCTTATCAGATTCTCCAACTGTCTTCTGTCGTTTAGACAAGCCAGATGCCTTCCCCAGGTAGCCACTGGCTGGCTCCCCTCCTGCTCCATCAGGCCTTTGCTTAAATCTCACTTCTCCAATATTATTGAAAATTACACACACACTTTAATTTTCCTGTAGCATCCACATCTTTGGGACATATTATGTTACTTATTTTTGCTTATCCATCTCCTATCACTAAAATGCAAGTTCAATGAGAGAGGGGCCTTTTTAGGTTATGTTCACTACTGTCTCCTCAGCTCCTAGGACAGTGCCCAGCACACCACAGGCACTCAATATATATTTGCTGAATGAACAAACATCTGCTGTTCCAAGTCAATGCTAATATTTGCTATTTAAAACAAGATTTTACAGAAGGGGGTCCTAATATAAGGTGACAGAAGATGTGACTTTGGGTGATGGGTACACAGTGCAATATACATTTCTTTTTTTTTTTTTACGTATAGGGTGTAATGTCACAGGAAGGCCATAGTATTCTGCCACCCGTGAGGAATAAGCCCTTCTTCAGTTGGATGTGTTGTACACAGAGAAGCCATTCTTCAGGTGCTCTGCTCTCTCCACACCCAAGCAATATACATTTCTTATAACACTGTCACCCCAATTAATTTAATAAATGAATATTTAAAATATTATAAAACCAGATTTTACACTATTTTTGCAATAAGAAAATATAAAACCAGATTTTACACTATTTTTGCAATAAGAAAACAAATTTGAGTGGACCCTACCTTCATAGAGCTTACAACACAGGAACACAACCACAAAATAAAACCATGTTGCTTTCCTGAAAGTTTTCAGTTTGCTCTAGTTAAAGGACTTCAACCTAAGTCTGTCCCTAGGTCAAAGGGTGTTTCCCAATCCCCACCCGTCAAACCCCTGCATAAGGCAAGAAGCACAAAGGACCCCAGCCAGAGCTGACGGAGAATCCAGATTCCACCCTCACACCCCACACAGACGACCGTTACTCACGGGGCACAGCACTCCGTCTGTAGGTGTCTCTGTCGGCTTCCCCTCGTGTGAGTCTTGCAGGTCGCTCGCCCTCCAGACCTACACAAGTAAACCACACGGTGAACATGGGCGATGGGTTCCCTTCAGGCCAAGAAATCTGGAATTGCTCTCCACGTCTCACCGGAGAACATCTTAGTCACTGTAAGGAGTTAATGGGAACAGGAACTCCTACACCCAGAACTGCCAGCTAGAAAAACTTGTCATTGACATTGTGGCTCCTCGAAGGCCTGGGAAAACTCACATCTTAATTAAAATGCCACACGTCTGCAAAAGGATTGCTTTCTTCTATTGTATTTTTCAATATAACACACACGTTCCAATTACTTGGCAAACTCAGAAATTCAGCTATTTCTACAAACATTCCAATAGCTAAAATGTTGAACTTGATCCAGCTCTTAAGTGGAAAACTCCCTGTACAAAGGAGGCATCACAGATGAAAGCCCCACCTCCAATAGGAAGTATATAAATATAGAGGCCAGCAAGAATCCTTCAGTCCCCGCCTGCCCCTTGCCCCTTCTCCACCCATCCTTCACGCTGTGGATACATTAAAAGGTACCTTAAAAACACTGAAGTTTAATTTAGTATTCTCTCTACCCAGTTACCTTAGAGTCCATATAGTTAAAACACCTTTTTTTTGGGGGGGGGGGAAGGGGGAGGTTATCCTTACCTGAAGATATTTTTTCTATTTTTTTTAGAGTAGGAGGGAGGAAGGGAGGGAGGGAGGGAGGAAGAAGAGAAAAACATCGATGTGAGAGAGACACATCCATTGGTTGCTTCCTACATGCACCCTGACTGGGGCTGGGAATCGAACCTACAACCCAGGCATGTGCCCTTAACCAGTAATTGAACCCATGACCCTTCGGTGCTCGGGCCAACGCTCTAACCATTGAGTCACATCAGCCCAGGCAAACCATTCTTTACTGTACAAGAGATAAAACTGAACCCGAAGTGAGTGGCTAAAATAAATGCCAGGTCTCACAGAGGCCCACTAAATCAAGTCTGTGGGGCAGAGACAACGGGCTCCTAGGTGCAGTGTAGACTTCTGCTCTAGATACACAACCCACTCAACCACCAGAAGCCCCTTGGGAGCATTTGTAAAACAAAGATTCCTGAGCTCCATGGAGTCTCTCCAGTGGAACCTGGAAGCCAGGGCCATCTGGATACAGATCTTCGTCCCACCTCATCACCCAAGCTTACAAAGTTCTTGTGACAAGTTCTTCAGAACCCAAGGAAAAACATGACTGTGAGCCAGTAGATAATCCGCCCCCACCCCACATCCACACATGAAGCAGAAACTCTCACACGGTGATTTTCCCAAAAAAGTCTCTCACGCTCTAACCGCTCGGTGTCTTGTGCACAGAATAATGTTCTGTTTGTAGGCCGTCTCAATAGGATGGGCTTGGGGCCTGTGTCAGGGATCCATTACCGGTCTTTCTAAGAGGGGCACAGCGGTTTCAGGACTTGACCTCAATCCAGAGCCCTCTAGAGCTGGCACCCACGGCCGATTATAAGACCACTCCCGTCTGCCCCACAACGCCCCGCTCCCAAGAAGAGCTGGTGCACAGCAGGCCGTCGGAGGCATTTATGTGGGCACGGTACCTTTGGGCCTTGGGCGGCCAGTCTCAGGGCGGCTGCGGCGCAGGGTGGCGGGCACAATCTCGGGGGGCAGGTGCAGGTAATCGCGGAGGTACTGGATGCCCTCGTTGGTGAGGTACCAGTAGAAGTGTCTCCAGGCAAACTGTTCCTTCACGTAGCCCCGGGACTTGAGAGACTGCAAGACAGAAAACTGCGGCTGAGACCTAACCAGAGGCTTGACGCTAGGAACGCGGTGCACGGGGAGCTGGCTGCGCAATAGGCAGGTGTTCAGGTGCATCTACCTCACGGCCCGTCAAGGCAGCAAGCAGCGCGGGCTGTCCTGACCTCCTGGGCATTGGCCTTGGGCAGCCGCCGAAAACCCCTCCATCGGCACCCACTCCAGCAGCGCCCGGCCGGCTACCTGCATGGCCTTCATGACGTGGAGATTGGGCACGTTCTTGTCCGCCAGCTCGGGGTGCTTGGGCATGTGCACGTCCTTCTTGGCCACCATCACCCCCTCCTTGAAGAGGAGCTCGTAAATGGCGATCCGGTTCTTCTTGGGCATCAACATCTACGGGGAGAAAGCGACCACCAAGAGCACCGCTAAGCAATGTGGCCAGGGGGTCAGGAACCGAATTCAAGACCCACGAAACCACTGTCCAATGGACTGAAATCTCAAACACAAAACGTGCAGGAAGCGGCCCCGAGGCGCTGAGGGCTGACAGCGAGACGGCCCCCAAGTCGGGAGGCCTGCCCCTTGGGCTGGGAGCCAGGTGGGCAACCTGTAGGTGGCACCGTGGCCTGGCTGGGCCCAGGCAGTGGTCTGTGGGCAGGGACCTTGCCAAGGGGACTGGAGGCTGGGCCCACTGGTGCCCGTGGAGGAACAATAAAGGTTTTCAGCTTAAAAAAAAAAAAAAGCACGTGCAGGAAGGAGGGATTCAAACCCTGTAGATTGACACCCACCAGTTACCAGCTACCACCTCCAGCCCCGAAAACACTGCAGGTGAGAAAGTTACCAAGGCGTTAAGACAAAACGGGGGTGCACATCCGCTTCAAACTTCCACCCACAACCGTAAAGGAGTAACGGGGCGCAGACCCGCATTCTGTGAGTATCCGGGGACCAACACCGGTGCCACGGTGCGCGCGGCGAGGCTGCACTTCCAAGCGGGCAAGGGGAGGCCACGGACGTCTCTTCTCACGACGGGCCGCTGACCCGCAGCCAAAGGGCCAAGGCCTTCGCACCCTCATTTCCTACCCGTCTCCCCCCAAACGAGAGCCCCAGGGCCAAGCAAAGAGGCAACCGGGGTGAGGAGTTCTTCCCCAAAGGAAAAGTGGGCGAGCGGGGTACAGTCCTCCTGGCCTCGCCCAGACACCGCCACGCAAGGGCTTCATCTTCCCTCCTCGGCCCTCTGCCATCGGGACGCCGATCTCCGCCAACAGCGCCCCACTACCCCCCGGCGTGTGCCCCCGGCCTCTCTCTACTCAGAAATGAGCGAGCGTGCAGTGGGAGAGGGGTCCCCTCGCCCCAACCCCGGGGAAGCGCAGCGACTGCGGCGGCGAGAGGGCCAGGATGGAGGCCGATGGAGCCCGCGTTCCCCGGGAACTCACCGCGACAGCTGCTGCGGCCCGGGCCCGAGCTAGAAAGGAAGGGGCATGCGCGGCGCGGCGCGGCGTCTCTTCCGGGCCGGCGTGCCCCGCCCCCCGTCAGGACCCGCGCACAAGCCTGGGGTGGCCTCGGCGGTGCCTGAGAGACTGGCGGCTCGGCAGCTGCAAACCCTGACCTACACCGTGGAAACGGCCGCCGCCGGGTTTGTCAGGAAATGGTCACTTTTCGGCTTGGGCAGGCTCCTTAGAAACACGCTGCTTCTTTATTCCCAGCAATCATTTAACTTAATATTATGCTAGGAATACATGCGCTGGAGCGGGGAGGGGGAGGGAGAACATGCAAAGTAATAACAACAATAATAAAATACTTTTTAAAAACAATCCTATCAACCAAAGATAATCACTATTAGCATTTTGGTATATATTCTTCCAAACTCATATACACCCAAGCAGAGTATGTGTTCTTTTCCACTCTATGATTGGACATATATCAAATCCTTCACTACTCTCTGTAACAATGCCACACACACCTGCACCCTTGCCCAACATTTTACTTAGAATAAATTCCTGGAGGTGTAGCTGTTGAGTGAAAAAGTACACACTAATCTCATTGCTCTTGTAATTTGCTCTTCTTGGTTACTTCTGTGATAAAACATTTCTTTCTTTAAATTTTTCATTTCCATTACCTGTTTTCTTACTGAGAGTTTTTTCCTATTAAAGTTAATAGCTCTCTGTCACACATTTTTCAAGAATTTCCCCCAGACCCCGGCTGGTGTTGCTCAGTGGGTTGAGCACCATCCATGCACCGTAGGGTCACGGGTTGGGTTCCCACTCAGGGCGCGTGCCCAGGTTGCAGGTGGGCACTTCGGGAGGCAGCCGATCATTGTTTCTCTTGATAGGAAATTCTTGGACTGGAACACGCCGTGTTCCCCTGTGCAGGATGGTTACCCGGATGAAGAATGAATTCACGGACTGAAGATGGTCTAGAAAAGGTGGAGGTTTATTGAAGAACAAGTACAGACTCCCACTGGGGAGGGGGAAAGAGTCCCACAGCACAGACTCCCATGTGGGGAGGGGGGAAAAGTCTCTCCGACTTCCTGTGGCCATGGTTTATAAAGGCTGCAAGTCCCTGTGTCCTGATATCCCTTCTGATTGGTCAATAGTCCCTTTTGAATTGGTTACTATAGTAACTCCTGAGATTGAAGGTCAAACATCACATGGGACATGGGATGCCCTCCTCCCTCATTGTTCTCCTTTTCCTTCTGGGCTTTCTCCTTTTCCTTCTGGGCTTTCTTCCTTCTTTATTTTGTAAATACAGACCTTTTATGAAAATGTAACTGAGCCTGGTTCCCTTGTATTATGGAAATGTAACTTCTCCCAGTCTGTAGCCCTGGTTTTTTTTCCCATGGACCCCCAATTCTGAAAATTTCCTAAACCCTGCTTATATTCCCCTAAAATTCCTATTTCACTCTCTCACATCAATGTTTCTCTCTCTCTTTCCCTCTCCTTTCCTCTCTCTCTAAAATCAATAAAAAAATATTTTTTAAAAAATGAATTTCCCCCAGTTTTCCATTTGTCTTGATTTTCATGGTAATTTGAAGAAGTTTTGCATTTCTTTATATACAAACTAGGGGCCCAGTGCACGAAATTCGTGCATGGAGGGTCCCTAGGCCTGGCCTGCAATCAGGGCCCATTGGGGCCTTCTTTCCCCCGGCTATTGACCAGAGCCTTCCTTCATTCCACGCCGCCCCCTGGTGGTCAGTGCATGTCATAGCGAGCGGTTGAACTCCCGAGGAGACAATTTGCATATTAGCCTTTTGCATATTAGCCTTTTATTACATAGGATCTTTATGATTTGAGGCTGGTACAAATGCTTAAAAAGTCACTACATACCTCATGATTATATAAATATCACCTGTAGTTTTTTATTTTTTAAATCCTCACTCGAGGATATGTTTCTTATTGTTTTGTTGTTTTGTCTTGTTTTATTTTAGAGAGAGAGGAACATGTGAGAGAGAAACATCAATCAGTTCCCTCCCATATGTGCCGACTTGGGATCGAATCCGCAACTTTTTGGTGTACAGGATGATACTCCAAACAACTGAGTGAAATGTTTTTTTTCAAGCATTTTTGTGGCTTTATTGTTTAAAAATAGGTATTCATCAGTTTTGCAAGATGGAATGAGTTCTGGAGATCGTAGCACAGCAATGTGAATAACTTAGCATGACTGACCTGTAAACTTAAAAATGGTAAATTTATATCATGTATATTTACACAGTTTTTAAAATAAGTATCATAACATGTTACAGAAATTAAAAAAAGAAGAAGCTTGAACATATGGACAAGAAACAACATAATCTAAGGACTTGGTCAAGCAGATTTGAAAAAAGTACAGTAAAACTTCTAGAAGTGAAAACTAAAATGATTGAAACTTAAAAACAAAACAAAAAAACCCCCAACAAACTAGAGTGCTCTCCCTCCTGGAGCATGCCTGCCTTTCCTTTCCCCTTCACCTACCCCTACCCCTATCCCTCTGGCCCCAGGCACATTACCATTAGCTTCTTGACTCCCAAGCTCCAAGGGCCCTTCCTTTACCTCTATAACTCAATTCCTAAGCCCATTTCTGCTAGGAATTACTTTTCCTACCTCTGTAATTTACCCAATAAATGTTCTCTTACAAAAAAAATAATAAAAAGAATAAACTATAGATTTGCCCTAACCGGTTTGGCTCAGTGGATAGAGCGTCGGCCTGCGGACTGAAAGGTCCCAGGTTCGATTCCGGCCAAGGGCATGTACCTTGGTTGCAGGCACATCCCCAGTCGGAGGTGTGCAGGAGGCAGCTGATCGATGTTTCTCTCTCATCGATGTTTCTGACTCTCTATCCCTCTCCCTTCCTCTTTGTGAAAAATCAATAAAATATATTTTAAAAAATAAATAAAATAAACTATAGATTTGACACACTTAAAGAGAAAAATCAGTGAAATAGGAAGATATAAATTTAAAAATATATATTCACAATGCAGTCCAGAGATTTAAGAGGGGGGGGGGGGAATTTTTGAAAGAAAGGGTAAGAAGTATAAAGAACAGAATGAGAAAATCTAATATATGTCTAAGTGATGTCTCTAAGGAAATAATAGAAAATGTAGGAAAGAGACACTGTCAGAATATTTTTCTGAATTATTGGAAGACAACACACTTCAGATTCATTGCTCTCATCAAATCCCAAGTTGCAGAACATCCAAGACAAAGAGATCTTAAAAGCAGCCATCGGGAAAAGACGGGTGTGACTGCTCACTTCCCAGTAGCAACACTGGAATGCGGTCTACTGAATCTCCCCTTTCAGTGGCCAGAGTGACCTTCTACAACATCAGACCATGCAACTCCAGGCTTGAAATCCTCCAACGATGTCCCAGTTCACTTACAAAAATATTCAAAGTCTTTATGTGACTTAATATTTTATGTTTAAATCTTTGATTCTCCTGGAACGTTTTCTGATGTAAACATTTTTTCTCTAAAGGGTTATCTGGTGTCTCAACATCATTTCCTCAATAAGCTATGCTTCCATTTGTCTGAAATACCACTAAATTGTTTCTGAGAGATGAATTCAGTTTTAGATTTTATTGTATTTGTGCTTATGATACACCATGGTGAAAATACTCAGGATAATCCTATATAATAAAAGCCTAATATGCTAACTGTCTGGTCATCCGGTCTTACATTCAACCAATCAAAGCGTAATATGCTAATGACATGCTAAGGCCACTCAACAGCTCACTATGATGTGCACTGAGCACCAGGGGGCAGATGCTCCTACCTGTAGGTTAGCTTGCTGCTGGGCTCCGGCTGATCTGGACTGAGCAAGAAGGGCTGGATATGCCCTGGAGCCCTCCCATGATCCCTCCCCCCGGCCAGCCGCAGCCCCTCTTGTGCACAAATTCATGCACCGGGCCTCTAGTTTTAGATAAAGAACTCAGAATTTGTTCTTGGGAGAGAGTTGGGTACCATTAGGTAAGGGAATCATCTAAGATCCTGTGAGGATCTGAGATTACCTACAACGGTTGTGGAGTGAGAAGAGGATGAGGAGGGACCCCACAACACCTCCCGGCTCACCTTAGGATGGTACTCCTGTGGGTATCTTCCTACCTGGATGGAGCTGTCTTATGGGCAAGGACCATGCCTTTCTCCTCCCTCAGGTCCTCTCCAGCAGTTAGCATAATGTCTCATACATGTTAAATATACTTAATAAATGTTTCAGGCATAAACAGCGACGTCATGGATAGAGGAGATTAGATTGTTGAGTAAGGAAGGGGGACTGATGAGTAATAATACCCTCTGACACTACAAAGGACTTCTCAGATCACAGTTCACCCTTGAGTTCACTGAATTGCATGCTGCTGTTAGGCACTGAGCCCCTGGCCATGGGCCAGGTGGTGGGGCAAGGGTGGGGGCAGGTACACACGTGGATCGGACACCAAGCAACAAATACCTCTATTATGTGCCAGGAGCCATGAAGAAAATGATCAGGTGTGGTGACAGAGAGTAACGGGGAACGAGGAGGTGACTTGTCAGCTGAAAGCTATGGCGGAGTCAAGCTTGGGCTGTGAACTGGCTGGGGGAAAAGTTCCTGGGAAAGGCCCTGCGGAGAAGGAGGAGGGCTCCAACTGAAAGGCAACCAGCGTGGCTAGGACAAGGCCCATGAGGCAACTGAGATGGCACAGTGGTCTCAGGAAGGAGTTAGGATTTTTTTTACTGTTTTTTTTTTTTAATTTCTTAAAGTATTACAAAGAGTATTACACATGTCTCCTTTTTTCTCCCCTTGACATTCCCCCGGCATCCCCCACCCCCCAGTGTCCTGTGTCCATTAGTTATTCTCATATGCATGCATATAAGTCTTTCAGTTGATCTCCTACTCCCCCCAACCCTCCCCAGGGTTCCCACTGTAGTTTGACATTCTGCTCAATGCTGCTCTGCCTCTGTATCCATTTTTGTTCATCAGTCTATAATGTTCCTTATTATCCATAAATGAGTGAGTTCATTTGGTATTTTTCTCAGCTTCCCAGGGGCCGTCTCAGTCTCACAGGGGCGATCTCAGCCTCACAGGGGCTGTTTCAACCTCACCAGGGCCGTTTCAACCCCACCGGGGCCGATGCAG